TTCTTCGGTTTCAGCCTGAACTTAAATGTGAGCAATTGATGGTCTGTTCTGCAGTTGGCCCCTGACCTTGTTTTGGCTGATGATATTTGAGATATCTACCCCTATTTATTAATTCATCAATCTGTAAAAAAAAATTTTCTTAAATGTTTTATTGTGAATTATGTGATAGTTTACATGGGAGAACATTAGTTTTACATTCATTCTATTGTATATCGTCTCATTGCCATGGTTACAATCCCCTTCATGCAATCCTTCCCCCGTGCCCCCCAGGTCTTCAGCACACCTTCGCTCTCCCTCTAATCTGTAAAATTTTTATCAAGTGCCTTCCAGTCACACTCCCAGCCATCCACATGCCATCTCTTTGCCCTTTTGTCCATCTTTCTGTCTATCCATCATTCATCCTTCCATTTATCCATCTGTCCACCATCTTTCCATTCATCCACCCAACATCCATCCTTCCATCCTTTCATCTACCCATCCATCCTCCACCCACCCACCCATCTATCATCTACCCATCCACCACCAACCCTTCATTTATCCTGCCACATACCCGTCCATTCATCCCTTTATCATCAGCTCAAACAGTGTTACTGAACACCTCCCTTAAAGATGTGGTCCTGCCTTCATGGAGTTTCCTGACAAGGGGAATGCTCAGGTTGGAAGCAGATAAGTGGGTGGGCAGTTACAATTGCTTGTGGTCTGCACCTGAATGGAGGAAGTCCCAAAGGAGACATCTGTGCAGACAGGTACTCTGTGGGTCTTATCAGCTGGGCCCTCACAGCCCAGTTATACTGTGCAGGTATGTTTCAGGTACACAAACAAGGACCCCAGTGCACCTAGCCCTTGGGGAAGGGAGCGGGTAAGGTGCCAGCCAGGTGCACGTTATATTGTGGATATAAATCCTGAGGCCTACAGAGCAGACCTTTGTGGAAGAGCCCAAGACAACCCAGGGCATGGGCCAGGGGATGAGGGGTTCTGGGTAGGCAGGCAGAGCTGGGTAAGGGGGCAACTCTAGTCACAGCTGAAAACTGTCTGTTCTCTTATGAGGGCAGTGAAATTACTGCAATCAGCTGTTGCCAAGGCCCCTCCTTCCTGTTGAGAGTCTAGCTTTGTGGTGAATACAAGTCGACCCCCTGTATCACCTCCCCCTGCCTATAATGATACCCCAAAGTCCCCAGACTGGGCTTTCTCTAAGCACCCCATCCAGGCCCCCAGGTCAGCCCCCTGCTGCCGAGGCCACAAGGACAGCCGCCTCAGATGAGTTTGTGCAGAGTTAATGCGTCACCCATTATGTCTACATGGATCTTCCCAGGACCTTGAAGGAGGCCAGGCAGGCCCCCGCCCCAAGAAGCAGACCGTGGAGGACATGCAGGGGCCTCCTGGAAGTCTCAGCTGCAATGCCCCCAGGACTCCACCAGCAAAGGCCTCCGGCTGAGCCCCTACAGGGGAAGGGAACTGAGCATCTGGGGCCATCATAGGACCCAGTGTGATCTCTTGGGGCATTCTAGTTCCCTGCCCTGGGACAGCTCTCCATGCACCGTCCATGGACAGGTCTCCCAAGAGTCTTGCGAAGGCGCCATGCTGAGCCTGCCCTCACCCCAAGCCAAGTTGTGCCTTTAGCATTGATAGGGATGCCATCTATGCCCAGGCCCTTCGTGAGAAAACCAAGCAGTGTAATTGCAGCCAAAGTCCAAAAGCTTGAGAAGGGCCCCTCTGATGTTTAAGGACAAGCAGACTGGCTTCAAGGATCCCGAATGTGCTCCAGCTGGAACGCTGCCATCCCAGCCCCCTGCCCAAGCACTCTAGGGCAACCCAGGCCAGCCCCTGCTCCCCCTCTCCTGCTTCTCCATTTTCCTAGGGCTAGGACTGAGGACCCTCCTCTATGCCCCCAGGCTGTTTGGTCCAGTGGGCCCCTGGAGGGAACTTTGGAGCTTATGGGAGGGGGTTGTGTTAGGCTGAAGCTGAGTGTGGAGAGGGGAAGAGGGTAGAAGTGGTGAGTGGGCCACCAGCTCCAATGTGTAGACCACAAGAAGTCACCATGAAATTCCATTCTGCTGACAGCGAAGAACTGGACTTGTGCCTACCAAAGCCTGTGGCTCCAACAAGATCATTGCCAGGTCTCTTTCCTGTGTTCCCACCAGAGCAGAGAGGCTCTTGGAGCTTCTGCCCAGCTCCAGTCCCCCTCACCAGCAGCCCTCAATGTGTTTTCAATGCAATGGGTTTGCACTGCAGCTGCCCAGGACAGCAATCAGTGAAAGTGTGCATTCTGATGCAAAAGGCTGAGTTGGGGGGCAGGAACATTCTGGGGGCAGGGGTGGTGGTGTTGTGGGTGTTCCCTGCTCCTTCTCCAGCCTCCTAAAGAATGCTCAAGTAATTCTTGATGCCACTAAGTGTAATTACGGGTACAGGATATCATGGGGTAAATTGCGTCTCTCCAAAAGATGTGATATAATAAAGTCTTAACCTCTCGTCTGCAAACACAGACCTGCGTGGACAGAAGGTGTCTGAGGATGCTACCAGCTATCTTGAGGTCACACTGGAGTAACTCAAAAGCTAAACCACAGCCGTTCAGTTGGTTCTGACTCATAGTGACTTTATAGGACGAGAAGAACTGCCCAGAGGGTTTCCAAGGCTGTCCTATCTTTACAGAAATAGACAGAGCATGGTGAGTCCTAATCTAATCCAACTGGAGTCCTGTATGGTGCTATAGGACAAGCACTGAACTTTGAACCACACACCCACCAGTCGGCTCCTCAGAAACCCTGTACAGGGTCTCTATGAATTGGAACCAACTCGATGGCACTTAACAATCCAAACCGAGTGGTACTCTCAAAAAAAGAGAAGTGATGCAGGGAGACAAACAGAGAGAAGGTGGCCATGTGAAGACACACTGGAGTGACCACCAGCCATCACCAGAGCCATACATGGAACACCATTTCCCTTGGAGCCCTCCGAAGAAATTGACTAGGTTGATACCCTGATTTCATGTTCCCAGCCTCCACAATGCTAAAACATAGATTTTTGTCCATAAGAGGCCACTCAGTTTATGGAATTTTTTGACAGCAACCCTTGGAGACTTAAGGGCACAACCTGTTATCCAAAGGTATGTGGACTGTTTTGGGACATTGAGGGATGGGACGGGACAGAAGAAATGGGGTCAGTAAGTCCAGAAGACATAAAACCAGAGCTTGAACTAAAGGCAATGGGCAGTGATGTGAAGGGGATTGGGGTACTGGGGTTTTGAAACAGAGCAGACAAACTTGGGGACAGGGAGACCAGGGTGGGCTACCAAAGTAATCCAGTGAAGAGATGTGGGGAGACAGGTCCCTGACAGAGGCTAGGTGGAGAAGCAGCCCAGTTATGCAACAGACTTCATACCTGGTGAGACTTCAGGTCTGAGGCTGGGAGTAGGCTCCGTTGACCGTCTGGAAGCCATCCACCCAGCCGTGAGATTCTCTCTTTCCTGCCCACCCCCCAGGACTTTCCAGCTGCTGGGAGGCCCCATGCCTGGTTGTGGGGGAGGGGTTTATGGCAGGAGGTGACGCCATGGGAGACTTGTCACTTAGGCACAACCAGCACCATCTGCTCCAGTATGCCTAGTTGAGGTGGTGTCTGCTAGTTACCTGGGGGGGTGGGAGTGAGGACAGGAAGAGGCTTGGGAACCCCTCACTCCTCCCCTTTCCCACCCCATAACACCCCTGAAGCTGCGGCCAGGGGTGGGACATCAGGGCCACAAAGAGCAAATGGATCACAGCCTCCTTGGCAGACAAAGAACTACTTGGAGAATCCATGCACCTGGGGAACACCATTCAATCAATAGATCTCTACTGGGTACCTACTATGCGCCTGGCTCTGGTTCAACTTGTGATTAAAGCAGATGGCTAACCAGAAAGACAGCGGACTGGCAAATACCGTGGACAGAGTGAGCTTGATGGTCCACAGGGACGTCTCCCTAGGAAGGGACGGGAGTCAGGGCACCTCCTTAGGAGAGGATGTGTCAGGAAGGGGGTTGGAACCCCGGTCCTCCAGAGTGTTGGAGGAGTAGGAGGTGTAAGGACCGCTTCCGTGCACCTCGCTCCTACCCCCACCCCATCTGTAGGCGCGCATTCCTGCCGCCTCCGCTCGTGCGAAGGGCGGGCCAGGCCCGTGGGAAGGGCCCAGAGATGGGGCCGCCGTGTGCCGGGGAGGCGGGGCAGGCGCACAGCTGGGCCACATCTGGCCCGATCGAGGAGGGACCAAACGGGACAGAAGGCAGCCTTTTATCTCCCGGCGGGGAGGGGCGGTTTCTCTGCACCACGGGACACTTGACTGATTCCCACGATCCCCCGCTTACCCCCAGCCCGGAGTTATGGCTGGGGCATCAGCCCAGGGCCGAGGTGGAGGTGGCTACAGGTGCATTTCCGCTGGAACCTCAATTTTCCCACCTGGGTGAGGCTCAGGTGGCGAAATGCCATCCCGACGGCCGCCTGTTACCGCGCGCTCAGTACACGTGCCATCCCTGGAAGCCTGCCGCACCGCCAGAGATTACACCAACGAGGGTTGCACCAGCGAGGGTACCAGGCCTTCCGCTCCTGGGCTTCTGGCCCCACGATCCAGTCCCCACACCTCGGCCACCGCCCCCAAGCGCACCCTCCGCGTGCCGGTCGCCTGGATGCAGCGGTTGCGGGCTCCCGGCACAGTGTTGCCGGCCCAAGCTGTAGCCCCAAGGCCGGCGGGCGAGGCGGGGCGCACGTGCGCAGGGAATGGGCGCGGCACCGCCAGGCCTTTCCCAGCCCCCCGCCGTGGCCCCACGTGGGCGCTGCCGTGTTCCTGGGGGCGGCCTGCTCGGACTCCGCCCACGACGCGGGGACCAGTGAGCGCGCGACGGGGCGGGTATGGGGCGGGGTCGGGTCCTGGTGATATATGAGTGAACTGCGCCGGCTGAGTCCGGCTGGACGGCGCGCCGGACGGAGCGCGCGGCCAGCGGATTGGGGCGCAGGAGGCGAGGGCACAGCCCCACTATGCTCAACCGCTGCGGCCGTCGCCTGCTGCTGGCGCTGGCGGGTGCACTACTCGCGTGTCTGCTGGTGCTCACCGCTGATCCGCCGCCGCCCCCGCCGCCCTCCGAGCGCGGCCGCCGCGCGCTGCGCAGCCTGGCTGGCCCCGGGGGGGCGGCTCCCGTGGTCGGGCTAGATACGGCCCCAGCGCGGGAGGTGCGCAGCCTGTCCGAATATTTCGGCCGACTGGCGCGCGCGCGCACAGACACGGGCCCGTTGCCCGGAGGTGCCTCCCGCCCCGCCGACGCCGTCCCGCGGGCCCCAACGGAGTCGCTAGCTCCCCGAGACGTCTTCATCGCGGTCAAGACCACCAAAAAGTTCCACCGCGCGCGCCTAGATCTCCTGCTTGAGACGTGGATCTCGCGCCACAAGGAGATGGTGAGCGCCACGGGCGGGAGGCACGGGCTAGGGTGAGGGGACAATGTCTCCATCTGGCCTGGTGAGGTCATGCCCTCCCCGCAAACTCTAGCTCCCTGAATGAAGAGGGTTCCCCTACATCAGTTCCCGCCCGCCCCTCCTCAGTGCTTGTAGTGACCCTCTAACAGTGGAGCGCATGAATGGGGCACCATCGGCCCCAAACCTCTCCCATATAGATTCCCCCATGGGCCCCAGCGTTGGCACCTTTGGAGTTCTGGGTTATGGTCTTCTCAGACTCAAGCTATGCGTTAGACGTGAGATGTGGGCAAGGAACCTTGGGCACATACCCCCCCCCCCCCAGTCTTTGCTGGAGGGAGGGCAAGGCATAAATGAAGCTTACCTAGTGCTGGAGAGTCCTAGTGAGAGTTCTGAGATGCCACAAAGATCCGGAAAAAAAGGGGGTGCACTGGGGATTTAGGGTGTGTGGAAGGCCCTCTCCACCCTTAAGGAGTTAGGAGGCCTGGAATGCCCCACTGAGCAGAAGTTTGCACATGAATCACAAGGCCACGCCCCACTTTGAAAACCAGCCTCCAGGCTGCAGCGGGCCGTTGGCCGGGCTGGGCGGTACAGGTCGAGAATATGCCCTGGGAAAAGGAGGCAGTGGGTAGCACCCTGGGCCTACAGGCCCTGTGAGCTCATTGGCCATTTAGGGTGAATGTGTGTGTGTGTGTGTGTGGGGTGCTTAGAGGAGGTGGAGGGCTTTGGGGAGACTTCTACCTGTTCAGAACCCCCACAGCCTGATACCCCTGGGAGCAGTGTGGAGTTGGGGGTCACGATCCTGTCTGGTTGGTGGGGAGCTTGGGAACCCCACAGAAACCTCCTGGGAACACAGCGTCCCTTTCCTGGGGGCTCCGCAGGCGTAGGGGGGGGGGTGGTGGGCGCGGGTTTTGTTTGGCAGTTGGGCCGTTAGGATTCCCAGCGCCCGGGCTGCTCTCACGCCGGCCCCTTGGGTAAGGTAACAAAGCCCCTTTCTCCAGCCGGCCTCTTGTGTGCAGCGCCGTGCTCCATGGGAACCGCCGCTGGCGTGCTGGCCACTCAGGTTGCCTGGCGATGAGAGGCCTGCAGGGCCCCCCCACATCCTTGACTGACAGCCCGTGTGGGGCACCATTTCTGAGCCGGGCCCCCCAGGGTTCTGCCTTCCTACTGAGTGACCTTGGACGGTGTTCAGTCCCCTAGGCGTTGTCACCATATCTTCTCATCTTGGACTTTGGGGACTTTAACAAGTAGAAAGATGTGGTGGTGGGGTCTTAGGTACCAGTCCCAGCTGGGCTGGGTGATCTTAGGGTTCTGGGCCTCTCTAACCCCAAGTCTCTTTCTCTTTGAAATGAGGTGTTCAGTAGAATGTTGTCAAAGAGGACTTGCAAAACCTTGAGTTCACAGGTGCCCAGGGTCTGGGGTAGGGCCCCATCTGGGCCCTGAGGACTTAGTATTTATTTCTCTCCAGCTCCCCCCACTCAGGAGAGACTGAATCTGTCCTCAACCTCAGGTCACCAGTACACAACAAACAAGAACTCCTCTAGTGTTATAGTGTATGGGTGGTGGGGGGAAGGTCCTTGAATCTGTACTAGCAGAGCATTTTTCTTCCAGGAACCCCAGGGTGACTCAGATCCAGTCTGATGGGGGAGGTAGGGGGAAACCCAAAGAGATTGTGTGAGTCAAAGGTGGGCATCTAACCCATGGAGGGCTTCCTGGAGGAGGCACCATTTGAGCTGGACAGAGTATAAAATGCCCAGAAAGGGTATTGTGGGTCTGGGGACTGTCTAAGGGGCTTCCAGCACTGAGAGAGAAGAAGGGATTGGCCAGGGTCCACAGTGGCCCGCCTAAGGAGCTGGGCCTTTGGCCCACATGTTGCTCCCCACCCCCTCTCAGGGGCAGCCAGGCTGCAGCCGCCTCTGTTGCCACCTCATCCGCCACAATGGGGGGAGAGAGAGCTTGGCATCCTGTGTTTCTTTGAATTGCAACTCCAGGAACAATGCCGCTTCCTGTGGGTGTCCCCCCTCACTCTCCCCCCACCGCCGCCCGCCATGGCCAGCCTGCACCCTGCTGCCCCCTACTCTTCCTCCCCCAGCCCATCAGGAAAGAGGGGGGAGCTAAGGGTCTTTGTCCCTGAAAGGCAAGGTGCTGGTCTGGCCTGGGACTGGCGCCTGTATCTCTCTGGGCCTCGGTTTCCCTCCTTGGATTGCAACGGGACTGCCATGAAGATACCAAGAGGAAACAGGGAGCTATGCTGTAGGCATTCAGGGTCTGCACCCATTTTACAGAGGGAAAAACTGAAGTTCTGGGGGCGGCTGGGGAGACTCTCCTGGTCACTAGATCATAGGGAGACAGGAGACCCAGCACCACTCCCCTGCACCCCTCAGCTCCGCCTTCCTGGGTGCCTGTCTCCTGGCAGCTTCCTGATCCCTGTGAGGAACAAAGGTGACTTTAATCTCTGTAGCCTTGGGCTGGGTTTTTAGGGCACAACCAAAGCGCGGGAGAGCGGGGCCTTGGCTTGATCTCATTAAGAAAGCATTTTCCTTTTCATCCCTCGGCGGCCCGCGGTGCGTCTGCTCAGGCCGGCCTTGCGCCTCCCACGGCATTCCTGGGTTGATGTCGGGGCGCGGGCGGGGGTCTGCCGGCGAGTCTGTGCGTGCGGCCGCCTTGGGGTGTCTGCTGGGCTAGTGGGGGTAGGCGTGTGTGGAGAGGAAAAGAGCCAGCCTGCCATCCCCTGGGCTCTGGGCCCGGGATCCTCAGCCTCGGACTCCCCAGGTCATGTGCCCCTTGTCTGGGATCAGATGGGCCCAGAACAGGACCTGCAAGGTGAGGGTCCATGCCCAGGGGGAAACTGAGGCCCAGTGGGCATGGAGGGCTACATATGGCTGCAATCCTTGCCCAGAACACCCCTTACCCAGCCTCCACGATCAGCCACGTCAGGGTGTGCCAGGCGGCACGCGCTGGGCGGGCTGGGCAGGGGAGGAACATTCCTGCTCGGGTGCTGACGGGTCCAGGCGGGCGCCGGCAGCTCCTGGCCCCGCCCCACTGGCCGGGTTTCTTCCGAGGAGGAATCCTGGCAGAGGTGGCCTGGCGCTAGTGCAGGTGGAGCCCGGATGTGGCCTTGGGCAGGGCTGGGTTCCTTGTTGCACAGGAGGGTGTGGGCTGGGGGCACAAGAGGCCCCCCTACTCTGCTGACCACTGGCATCCCCAAAGAACAGCAAAGGCCGCTTACACTGAGAGAGGGGAACTGCCGGCTGGCCACACCGTCCGATGGGGACAGGGCAGTGCTGGGGATCGGTTAACCAGGCCAGCTGTATGGTAATGCTCAATGCGGCCACTCCCGCTTAACTCGGCTGTATTAAGGCCGAGGGACAAAGCTGGCCCATGCCTGGTGATTCATCCTCCCCCCAGGCCTTTGTCTACCCCGAGCTTGGCAGCCGCCCAGCAAAGCCCTTTGTCCCCGAGTGATTGAGTCTTGGCTTCCCAAAGCGGGACCTCCTCTGCCTGTCCCCCACCCGCCCCCTCCCACAGCCTCCGGGACGGGCACTGTGTCAACAGGGTGTGTGCTCCACCAGGTGCGCAGGGCAGCAGGGAGCGTGGTGTTACCTGGTTGGGGGGTGAGCAGGGGCACCCCACCTGGCTCATGTGGATGCAGCTGCCTGGGATGGGCTGGAGGAGGCGGGGGAGGCCCCAACCTGCTGAGGATGAGTGGACACCAGTGGACATGAACCTCCACGCAGGCCAGGGAAAGGCCAGGGTGAGTGGACACCCATGCCCAGGGCTGCCACCCAAAGCCCCATGTCCCTTTCCAGACGTTCATCTTCACTGACGGGGAGGACGAGGTGCTGGTCAGACACACGGGTGAGTGTGGACGAGCCTGCCAGGTCACAGGGCTGGCAGGGTGGGAGAGCAGTTTACTCAAGGGGTTTGCTCAATGCCCCGCCCCACCACTCCCCCACAATTCACATGCAAATGAAGCCCTTTCAGTCCGGGGTCCCTTTGAGCCTCTGAGGCAGCAACAGGTGGCAAGTGCTGGGAAAAAGCTGCCTGAATGGACAGGGGCGGGAGGTCCTGTGGAGGGGGCCCTGCTGTGTGACCCTGCCAGCTCCACCTCCTCCTAAGCTCCCCTTGGATCCACTCATGCCTCCTCTGGTCCACAGGCAATGTGATCAACACCAACTGCTCCTCAGCCCACAGCCGCCAGGCGCTGTCCTGCAAGATGGCCGTGGAGTATGACCGCTTCATCGAGTCAGGGAGGAAGTGAGTACCAGGCCCAGGGGACCCCCCCCCCGCACATGCATGCACACATGTGGACATGTGTGCACACGCACAGCACAATGCACATAGATGCACACATGCATACACAACTCACATATGCATGCAAACACATGTATATACATGCACATGAGGGGCTCTAAAATGTTTGTGGAAAATGGAATTTCCCCACAAACTTTTTTAAGCCTCCTCCTAGGAGTCCTGGTGTGGCGCTGTGGGCTAATGCGTCAGACTGCAAGGTTGTTTGAACTGCAAAGATCGGTGGTTCAAGCTCACCAGCTGCTCCATGGAAACTCTATAAAGGGTCGCTATGGGTCAGAATTGACTTGAAGGCACTTAGCAACAAATAACATGCAAATGCAATTACATGTGTGTACACATGCTCACACAATGCTCCCCACATGCATACACAGCCACACAACACATTCATGTACACCCACACATGCATACACCTCGTACATGCATGCGTACAAGTCACACATGGTCACATGCACACATAGGCACATTTATAGACACAATGCTCTTACACACATGCTTGTGCACCTTATATAGGCACACTCACACATGTCCTCCCACACACTTGCTGTCACATAGTCTCTTGCTCTCACATTTACATGTTTATACACACTTCCACACATGTTGTCACATGCACAAATGCTTGTACACACTCACAGTGCACCTATACTCACACATGCTTATGCGCTGTCGAACACAGTAGTCTCACACACTGACACACGCTGTCACACATGCCCACAGGTGGTTCTGCCACGTGGATGATGACAACTATGTGAACGTGCAGGCCCTGCTGCGGTTACTAGCCAGCTACCCCCACACGCAGGACGTCTACCTGGGCAAGCCCAGCCTGGATCGGCCCATCCAGGCCACGGAGCGGGTGGGCGAGGGCGAGGTGGTGAGTACACATGCCCTTAGTCGGGGGAGTGCTGACAGGACCCCCAGTGAGGGAGGACTGGCTGGGTGGGACAGTGGCAACATCTCACAACACGTGCTGCCCTTCCCTCCCCCGCAGCGTCCCGTCCACTTCTGGTTTGCCACTGGGGGGGCCGGTTTCTGCATCAGCCGTGGACTGGCCCTGAAGATGAGCCCGTGGGCCAGGTGAGTGCCCCTGGGTCCCAGGATCCTCCAGCAGGCTGGCTTGGTTCCTCTCCCTGCAGCGGGTTCCCCCACCACATGTGCACCCATTCTGCCCCTTCCCTCCAGGCCCTTGAAGGCATCTCCCCCGGCCCTACCCTGTTGAGAACATCCCACACTCCATGGGCAGGGTTCCCCAACTCTCAGAGTCTCCAGGACTTTGAACTTCCGGTTTGGTCACCTGCCAGTGGCCTTGCCTCAACTTACCTGTCCCCCTTCCTTGGCAGTGGGGGCCACTTCCTGAGCACAGCTGAGCGTATCCGTCTGCCGGACGACTGCACAATTGGCTACATCGTGGAGGCCTTGCTGGGTGTGCCCCTCACCCGAAGTGGCCTCTTCCACTCCCACCTGGAGAACCTGCAGCAGGTGCCGGCCTCCGAGCTCCATGAGCAGGTGAGCCTGTCCCCAGGGTGGCCAGGACTCAGAGGGGTGTGGCCTGGGAGATCAGGAAGGAGCAGTTCAGAGAGAAGGATGAGATGGACAGGGATGGTGAGAGAGGGCCACTGAGTTGGCCGCTGTACCCGTTTGTGTTGGCTTGCCCCGTTTCTGTCCTGCATCTTTGCCATGGCAGACCTTGTAGGTGCAGGATGCCCTACGTGCATCTGGGAGTATTCTCTCTCCCAGTCTCAGTCCACACTTTGGACTCTTTTCACAGGTGCAGCTGAGCAGGTGGAAGTGGCCCATGGTGACTCAGACAGGGGAGGGCAGAGGAAGGGCAGGGCAGGGCTGTAGGTTTAAGCAGAACCCAGGTTATTGGTAGACTTAGTCCCTGCCAGCGATGTGACCAGGGTTCCCGTCCTCTCTGCCCCTCTCCCCTCAGGTGACATTGAGCTACGGCATGTTTGAAAACAAGCGGAATGCCATCCACTTGAAAGGGGCTTTCTCAGTGGATGCAGACCCATCTAGGTATGGAAACTGAGGCCCAGGGAGGGACGGGCTGGTGGAAAGGATGCTGAGGTATCGCTATAGAGCAACCCCTGGGAGCCCGACTCAGGGTGGGTGAGGATCTACCCACACCACACAGACCAGCCCCTCTTTGTTTTCATAGGTTCCGATCGATCCACTGTCACCTGTACCCAGACACACCCTGGTGCCCCCACCCTGCCACCTTCTAGCAGCCATAGCTGAGACCCTGTTCCCGGGCGCCCCTGGTATCCAAAGGGCTCGGGGACCCCTGTTTCAATGCCCTCCCTGGCCTCGGCATTCGAGGCTCCTTGGGCTGTGTTCTCTGTGTGTATGTTGTTGTGTGCCCGTCCATGGAACAGCCTGCTGGGCGGGTCTGCTCTGGGCAGGAACCATTGGATGCGCCCATGTCTGCCTTCTGCCTGTCGCACATCTGCCAGCTCCAGGAACCCCGCCAGAAGGCAGCTCTGTGAAGCAGTTGTTCTGCATCGTGGGGTCAGGGGCTACCCTACAGGTGCCTCTGGAGGTACCTGTGGTCTGGGGCCCTGGCCCCTGCTCAGACCAGGGAAGCTGGGAATGTGTAGTAATCACTCCCCAGCTCCAGGTCTGAGATGCCCCTAGCAGCCGCCTGGTTGGGGAGGGGATCTCCCCTTAGTCTCCCCCCTGCCCTGGGGGGAGCAGTTTAACTTCTCTCCCAAGTAGAGAGAATGTCGCCCACAGTGGGTGTAACTGTAAATATTGTGACAGTATTTTTTTACTGTGTCGTGTTTTGAAAAGGGGGTGGGTACAAGGTAGAGGGTGTTTTTGTTTTCTCTTGGGACAGGGGTGGGTGGGGGTAGTGTGTGCTATTTTATCTTTTCTGTGGATCAGAAAAAGCAGAAGCCAAATCTGCCCTTCGTTTGAATCAGGCCCTTCGTTTCAAACCTGAACTGACCATTTCTTAGCCTCTGTATTTATATGTTCCAGTATCTGGAATGTTCCTGTCCCTGCCCACCCCACCCCACATATACACACTGTCTCTGTCCATCCCCTCTCCCTCCATGGCACACCTGGCCTGATGGGGGGAGGACTTTGTTTTCTTCTTTTTACAAAGACATAGCTAGGAACTCAACTGCAAGGGAAAAGTTCTCAGGGAATTGTTGCTATGGTTACATCTTTTGCTTTGAATAAAAGTGTTCTTTGCTGCAAACTCCAGGCTCCTGGACTTGACTGGAGGTAGGGCCTGAGCCTTGGGTCTGAGGGCCTCTAGGTGGGGAGAAGGGGGGTCCCCCCGACAAGGGGCAGGGGAGGATGGAGCAAAATCTTTTCAAGCCAGCTCTGTCAAAAAAACACACTTGGGATCAAAATTAGAAGAAAAACAATGCCTTTGCATCACTCCCAACCCACAGCACCGCTGTGCACATCTGAGTAGACTATGTTCCATAGGGTTTTCAATGACTAGGGTTTCTTTTTGAAAGTAGCTCACCCGGCCTTTCTTCTGAGGTGCTTCTAGGTGGACTCCAGCTGCCACTTTAGCAGTAGAGAGTTTGCTCACCATTTGTATCACCCAGGGCCTCCTAGGATCAAAATTAAAACCAAACCTTCTACCATCAAGTCAATTATGACTCATAGCAAACCTGTATAGGCTTTCTGAGACTAAATCTAAGCAGAAGAAAGCAGGCTCATCTTTCTCTGGTGGGTTTGAACCTGTGGTGAGCAGCCCAAAGCTTAACCCACTAAGTCACCAGATGCTTACTGTTTTGCTTGGGAGGGTATGGTCAACCATGGACACTCCCTGGGCAGTGGCCATGAAGGTCAGTGGTGGTGGACACTTTGCTTCCCTTAGGGTTCTTTGAGGACTATTAGGATTCACAGTCCCTAGAGGTCCACACTGCCATTCTGACCTCAGGGGCCACCAGAGCCTTCCTGCTTGAAGGCACATGACTTCCAGGGGCCTGACCAAGGCAGGTGCCTGGCTCAATCCATTTGGAGCCCAGGAAGATGGGGAAACTGAGGCTCAGTGTGGGGATGCCTGAGGCAGTGAGGAGGTTCCAGTCTTCACTTGCTCTAGGCACAAAGACTCTGCCTTCTCTCTTCTGATTGCAGCCTAAGGGGGTAGTCCCAGGGGATCCGCTCAACCGCCCCTCCCCTGCCACCTCTCCTTCCCCTCAGGTCTCCAAATAGGGCAGCATTCAAGCCATTCTTAGGCATTAAAGAAGCACTCCCTGGTGCCTTTTCTTCTTCAAATAAAGCCCCAGAGAGCTGGCAGGGGTGGAAGCAGGGCTACTGTGGCTTCTTGCTGGGGAGTCCCCTCCCACACCCCCTTCCTGGAAGCGCAGGGCAGCCCTTACTTCCTCTTAAGCTGTTTGCTCAGTCAGAAGGCTCTTCCTCAAAGGGAACCCAGACATTTCTGGGGCCTATCGGTGCAACCCAACACCCCCAACACCACTTAAATCTCTTCTACAAGTTATTTGGGGACATCAGTGACATTTTTCAAGTCCTACCATTTTTCTTAAAACCCTTTCTCAAATCATTTCAAAATTACTAAGGAGACTGAGTGGGTCAATGGTTAAGCTCAAGGTCAGCAGTTCAAACCCACCAGCTACTTCTTGGGAGAAAGATGAAGCCATCTACTTCTATAAAGATTTATATTAAGAGAGCAGGGGGAGGAAAAGAAAGAAAGAAAAAAAGATTTATGGCCTTGGAAACCCTATGGGGTGGTTCTATGCTGTCTTACAGGGTTGCTATGAGTAGGAATCGACTTAATGGCAATCGATTTGGTTTGCTTTGGGTTTTACCATTACAACACAAACTCAGCACCTCCTAAGTTTCTCATCTCTTCTTTTGAGTTGCTGTTGACAATTTGGTCACATATTGTTGAATCTTTAAATTCTTTAAAAGAACACAATGCTCAAGGCAGATATTTTTTACTCATGAAACTATCGCATGATTTCAAGACGACTTCTGGAACAGTTTTGATTTAAGGTTTAAAGATCTCAGGGCAACAGTTTCTGGGGTTCATCTAGCCTCCATGGTGCTCCAGAAAGTCTGGATTCTGTGAGAATTTGGATTTCTGTTCCACATTTCTCCCCCTTTTGATCAAGATTCATATATAGAATCTTTGATCAAACATTCAGTAACGGCAGCACTCTCCTCAGTTGCCTGTCACGGGCTCCGTTATTTTAAGGAAGTAAGTCTTTTGCCTCTTCCATACCCCCTGACTCTGCCCCAAGCTTGGTGGTGCCAGCATATCAGAAAGCAGTTGGAAACACCCCTCAATCATCTGTGTTTTGGAGACAATGCCAGCCATGCCTGGTCAGACACAGGTTCACACACTCCCTCACACAGGGGCTTGGGGTGGGAGGGTTAGAGTCAGGGCCCTCATCCTGGCAGGGCCTGACCCTACCATGGCCTTGAGGCAGCAAGACATTGTTCTCAAGGCCCTCAAGCAGCTGCTTGGGTGGGCAGTGCCCAGAGGGCAATGCAGGGCCCTCTCCTTCCCTTACTAATCCATCAGACCTCACATGCGAAGGCAGAGGGGGTTTGGACTTCCAGGACCTGGGCCAGCCCCACGATGTCACTGGGATGTCAGGCCTGTCTGGTGGTGAGAAGCTGAAACTGGGTAGAGGAAGTTGCAGGGGACCAGTTCCCGAGTGCGGGCAGGGGCACTTCCTGCGGGTGCTGAGTCAGAGGGCACGGGGCCTGGGCGGCGGGTGATACTGCTTCCGGTGTGTGGCTGTGCTCACTGGCTGGGGCAGCTTGGCCAGGCTGTCCCCTGCACAGGCTGAGAGAACAGAGAGGGGGAAGGGCTGTGAGAATCCTGGCTCTTGGGGACTGCCTCGATCTTTCCAACTGAGTAATGGGGATAAAGTGTGTGCTCTGGACTGGGGTGTCCTGGAGGAGGAAGATGAGCCCGAAGCAGAGCACAGCCCTGTCCTAAACAGGAAGCTGAGGTTTCCCCGAACTCAGAAGGACCTGACAGGAGCCCAGCTCCCACCTCTGCCTACAGGGGTCAGGAAGGGGAGAGGTCCCTGAGGCATGTTCTGGGGCAGCTGTGTCCAGTCAGCTAGATATGCCCTGTCAGCAGGATCTTGGCTGGCTCAGCCAGAACCCCCAGCCCAACTGTCAGTCATCTGTGGAGCCCTCAGAAATAAAAGGTTTTAAAAAACAAAAACAACGAATGGGACTATCTACCCCTGCATTCCAGCCAGAGCAGAGGCTAAGGAAACGACTTTCCACCTGGGGCAATCATGGCAGTCTTCCAGGAAGAGGTGGGCAGTCGAGGGTCTCCACAAATCTCCCGTTTCCTGACCAGGCAGACAGCAGGGAACAGGACTTTTGCCTAAGTCTACATGTCAGATACCTTGGCTTCCCCCCTCTGCCCCTGCATTCATGCCTGGAGACTTCAGTGTCTACAGATAAGTCCTATCTTGGCCTCCTCTCTGCCAGAGATCTTGTCCCCCACCCCATGGCCACACTCAGTCCTGTCTTTCCAGGCCTGGGATTGGAAGTGGGGCAGAAGCCACCACTGTCCCAGCCTTAAAGCACTTAATTGATCTGTAGGAGCACACATGGGTTTGGGGGCACCCTATCTCAGCCCCTGGAGGTTTCCCACATGGTGTGACCTTGTGAGTTTAGGGGCTTACTCCCATGAGCTCCCACAGTTCCTTACCAGATTTCAGACCTTACCAGTCTTTTCGTGCCTGACTTGCAACGGTCCTCTATCACCACCTGGTGGTGACAGCTGGTGTTGTCTCTTCCAGCACCTTTCCCCCTGTTCTGTAGAGGTGAGCAGCCGCCTATCTTGTCTAAAAGTTCATACCACAATTAGAAATCGTTACCCATATTGGTCTCCTATCACTGCCAGTTGCAGACAAGTTGACACTGACTCCCGGTGACACTATGTGTGTTAGAGTGCTGCACTCCTTAACAGTTTTCAATGGTTGGTTTTTGGAAGCAGAGCATCAAGTCTTTCTTCCAAGGCACCCCAGGATGGAGTTGAATTTTTGAGCACACAACTGAGCATGTTCTAGGGACTGAGACCACTCTCTTCCCCTTTGGGTCTCTCTACCAAATCTGATCATCTCTGAATCATTGACCTCCACCAGTCATCTGGGAACTTGTGTCCTGACAAGCCCCCCTGCTGTCACACACCGGTCACCTCAGAAAGTGCTGGTGGTGCAGCAGTTCAGTACGCAGCTGTTAACTGAAAAAGCAGAGGTTTGCACCCGTCAGCTGCTCCTCTGGAGAAAGGTTTGTTGTTAAGTGCTGTCAAGTCAGTTGCGACTCACAGAGCTCCTGTTGAGGGTTTTTGAGGCTGTAAATCTTTCTGGGAACAGAAAACCTTATCTTTCTCCCATGGAGTGGCTGGGGGGCGGGGAGGGTTGAACTGGGGGGTCAGCAGTTCAGTGCTTACTCTACAGCCACTGTGCTCCCAATCCATAAAGATTTAGTCTTGGTAACTCTATGAGGCAGACCTACTCTGTCCCACAGGGTCAGTATGAGTTGGAATGGCCTTGCCGGCCGTGGATTTGGTTTGGCCCCTTCCAGACTATTCATTCCACTTCCTCCCTCCTTTACCACCACCCTTCCCACAACATTGAATCCCCCACTGCCTCCTTCTACCCCTGCCTTCATGCCTGGAGACTTCAGTGTCTACAGGTGAGTCCCCCAGCCTGGCCTCCCTTCTCCCAGATATCTTGTCCCCCATCCCACCTCAGCTTCATGCATGCCCTTGGCTTCAACCTGCTGTCCAGCTCCCTCTCCGTGTCCTGATCCAACCTGGTTGACTCCAGAATCCCTCCACAGCCCCCTCCCATGCCTACTTTCTTGGCTCACCTGTGTCTAGCTGTGCCCACTCCACACCCACACTGGGAGGTGGATGCTGAAAAACGTACCAGGTGGCCAGTGCCAAAGGGAACTGTCCTACGAGGATCCCAGAAATCCCAACGTTCATAGAGGGTCTGTCACAGACTCTCCCACTACCTACCTTCAGCTCCCTGCACTGGCCGGATGCTTTATCTCCAACCTAGGGACCAAAGGTATGTGCTCCAAGGTTCTCAACCCCACATCCCCAACTGCAAGGTGGTGCTTGTGACACGTCGAATGACCACTCCTCCTTGCAGAAAAGCAGCCTGTTCCCTTCTGCCTGCCTCTGCACCTGCCACCCTGGCTGGTCTGCTTCCGACGCTGGGCACAGCGGCAGGCTGCTGAGCATGAGGCCAGAATGGCCAACTCCCCACCAACTTCCCATTGCTTCTCCCACTCCTACAGGATTCAAAGCCACCTGGGGGAAGAGCCCCCTTTTTCAAAATGTGTTTATTTGAAAACATTCAACCCAAGCTGAATAGAAACCACAGAAATTACATTGACAAGTTTTAGTATTTGCCAAGAAAAATAAAGCCCTCAAGGAAATAAAAATCAAATCCCAAACCCAGTTAAAAAACAAAAAGAAAAATTTAAAAGAACAAAACAAAAAACCCAGGAACACAGCGATGGACCACAGGGCTGCGGCTGACAGAGGCTAGAGGGTCAGATGCACGTGGTTTGAGCCTCAGTTTACCGCTCACAATGGTGGGACTGGGGGTGAGATGCAGGGCAGGGGGAGGGGCAACTAGGAGGCTCAGGAGTTTAACAAAATCATATATATATATTATATATAACAAGTATGAAGTGGTACAGACACACCATGATGGTTAAACACAAAGATACATCCACAGAGGCCCCTGTCCCTCATGGCCCTCAGCCACCCACTCCTGGGGCAGGGACAGGAAGGGCCCGGGAGGGAGGGGAAGGGCAGGGCCTATGATGGAAGTTGCATAGTGAGATGGGGGTGGGTGGTGGCAAGGGAAATGACCAACGGGCCCTTCACTACCAACCTGGCCACACCAGGCTCCAGGGGTGGGTGAAGGAGAGAGCCCCCATCAGCTGGGTCTGGTGGACAGGGACTCACAGCTATTGTCCACTTGCCTAGCCCATCGAGGACCCAGAGGCTCCACTATGGGGTGACCCCTTAGGGCAGGGGGGGAAGTGGGGTGACACTCCCAGGTGTGAGGTGCCACAAGGGCAAGGTGGTCAGGACAGGGCACCAGAAACAGAACAGAAAGACACAATGACCCCTCCCCCTCCACGGACTGAGGTTTAGGTTTGAACTCCGATTTCCTTTTTTCTTCTCCAGCCTCATGAGGAAAGGAAGTCGGTAAGTCCAGACGGGTAGGCGGTGGGCAGGGTCCGAGGCACCCAGAGTCCTGGGCGGGGCCAAACCCCTGTGCTGTGTGTACAGTCCCAGTGAATCAACCGCTTGTGCTTCTAGGCAGGGGACCCGGCATTCACGCCTCCCTGGCCTGCAGCCAGGGCCCGATGGGAGGTCTCTGGCTGGCTCCCCAGTTGGGTCAGGCTCAGGATGGTCAGCCTGGGCGGTCAGCAGTGCCCCACGGGGCCCAGGACAGAGTCCACTATCACAGGTGTGGCCACGCCTGGAAGGCAGGGCTCTAGCTCTCTCCACCCAGGGTAAAAGCTGCCTCATGGAGAAGTAGTCACCCATTCTCCCTCTTGGTCCCAGACACCAGCACAAGGAAAAGGGGTCAAGGGGGGCTCAGCCGCAGAGGGAAAGGTGGGGGTCATTTCTGGGACAGGCAGCACCCACCACTCTGGGCTGTAAACCGCAGGCCCCAACCTGCCCCTGGCTACTGGGTTTGATTACAGACCAAAGCCTGCCCCCGGTTGCCTCCTCTGGATTGCCCAGGCAGGGCTGGCACTGACATGAGAAGCCCAAGCAAACATCGTACACTAAAACCAAAGCACCATCGGGAAGCTTGTTCCCACTTCACAGATAGGAAGACTGAAGCCAGCAGAGGCCTAGCTCAGTCCTGCAACCCAAGAACCAAGGCCTCCCTTGGCTGGCCCTGCCCAGGGAGGGGCCTCTACCCCCTGTGAGTGCCTACTGGCCACTACTTGGGTCCAGCACCTGTTGTGCTGGGAGTGAGGTTAGTGGTTAGTAGCAGAAAGGGCGGCACGAGCTGAGGGGGCATTCACAGCAAGCCTGGTGCCGCCCCCCGGAGAGATCCAGGGCACACTGCACCTGACCATCCTGGATGGAAATGGAACCAAGTTGGAAGCGGGGGTGGGGTGGGGGTGGGGGGAGTGCAGCCAACCTAGAAATGACAAATGTGGTTAGTGCAAAGAACAAGCCTCCGAGGTCACAAGGCTCAGGGTTGGGGGCGGGAGGGTGAATTTGGCACCAAGAACAGCCGGGCTATGGCCTCGGCAGCACAGGCAGGGTCAGAGGGCCAAGCATGGTCAGGCCAGGTCCACAGGGGCCGTAGGAGGAGACGGGTAAGGCTCTGGGAGCTGGCAGGGGGTCCAGGGTCCAGGCAGGTGCCAGAGAGTGAGAGAGAGGAAGAGAGTCAGGGATACCCAGTAGAGTCCAGCCTGAGGATCATTCTGTCCATGGCCGCCTGCCAGCTGGGAACAGAGGTGGAGAAGCTGGGTGGTCTTGCCTGCCACCCACCACTCCGGCAGTGGTGAGAAACCATGTGCAATGGTGGCTCGTGGGAACCTGTGACTAGAAATGGGTTCCAGAAGCCTATAGGATCTAGGAGAGGCTGAGAGAAGGGGTGCATGGCCAGAGGCAGGAAGGCCTGGGGGCTCAAGTGGGCACAGGGCAGTGAGTATGGCAGCCAAGTTGGGCGGGTGTGAGAGGGGAGTGTCAGTGATAGATCCCAACACAAGGGCATGGCTCTCACAGTCCCCAGAGCCAGGGCTGGGCCCAGGAATTGGAGACAGGCAAGCGAGCAAGGTCCCATAGCACCCCAGTGTCTGCACCCTGCGGGAAGGAAGAAGGTAGGGCTCCGGGCTGGTGCTGCGTGCAGGGATCCGGTGGAGACCCTCAGGGGGAGGGGCAGTGTGGTGCTGGTACAAGGGGTTGGCACGTGGGGGCCGTGCTGGCACATGGTCTAGTGCACACTGCTGCTGGAGTCAGGGCGCGGCTGGCTGGTGGCGAGGTATTTGGCTCTCATGCTGGATGTGTACTGGGGGAAAGAGACGAAGGGGTCAGTAGGAGCAACAGGCCTGAGGTCCTCAGTTCCCTGGGAGGCAGGACACAGGAGCACAAACAGAAGCAGCTGGCCCAGGGCTGGGACCCCAAGAGGACTGGCCTGGAGAGGGTACCCCGATTCCTCTCAATAAGCCTCCTCTCTCTGGTGCCAGAGTTCTGAGGTACCTGTGTCCAGGGGTCAGGCCTAGGCCATGTGAGGAGCTAACAGAAGAATCTAAAATGGTCAGGTTGGGCCCTCGCCCATGGTTCATCCCTATGGTAGTGGTTAGCCCAGGGACCACGCAGTACCTCCTTAGAAAAAATCCCCAGAACACTCCAATGGGCTCCTTGGGCCAGACCACATGGTGAAGGACCAGCTCCTCCCTGGGGCCCCTGACCACCCCCTGCCCCTGACAGTCAATCTCTGAACACCCTCGTCAAACTCACTGTGTACACACCCATGAGTGGGCATGTGCATGCATAAGTGTGTTAGTGTGCAGATGTGTGCAGGTATGTGCCTGTAAGTACATGTGGGTGTGGATATAGACAGGTGCATTTGAAGGCTTGCGTATATATGTGCATACATGTGAACAATGGTGCACATGTGAGGGTGTGTGAGTGGGCAGGCATGTACCTCAAGGATGGCCTCTCAGCCCTGCAGCACCCCAGGTGCAGAGAGAGAACAGCTGGTCCCTGAGAGTCCTCCCACAGCCCGGTGGGGAAGAAGGCTGCAAGGAGCTGAAGGGCAGCCGTGTGGGGCAGGACGTGGCAGGCTGTCATGGGGCCAGGCCATCCATGCACGGGAGGGGCAGGCAGGGCAGGTGGCCAGGCAGCCACAGTTTGGGCATCTGCTGTGGGGGACGGGTGGGAGCAGTTTGTGCCTGTCCACATACTCATCGACACGCAGCTCTCTGCACACACCTGTCCAGGTATACGTATCTACACACCTATCCACATGCACCGGCTGACACATACTTTATTGTACATACTTGTCCACACACACCTGCCCACACGCATACCTGTCAGTATGTACCTTTCCACATACACACTTACACACCTGTTGGCACGTATACCTGTTTATATGCACCTGCCTGTACATAGTTGTCTACATAGACACCTGCCCTCACCCACAACTATTAACATATACCTGCCAGCATACATCTAGGCATGCATACTTGTGCACATGCACACCTGTCCACACGAACACCTGTAAACATGCCCCTATCAGCATACATCTGTCCCCATGTACCCATCTACATACACACCTGTTCACTCACATAGCTGTCTACAACACCTGACCAAATGTACCTGCCTGCACAAACCTGATTGTACCTAGTTGTCCACATGCATACCTGTCCACACACACCTGTCTGCACGAGCTGGCATGCAGGGGCTTTGCCGCTCTCACTGCATCTGCTCTCGACCTCCCTGAGCCAAGATGTGGGGTGCAGGCACCCGCAGGGTCTGGGTGGGTGGTTTCCTTGTGGGGTGACTGCAGGGGCTGGGCACACACTGTTGGAGTGTTGAGGTCACTTGTAGCCATTGGCAAACAGCCTGGAGACTGGGCTGATGGACCAGGACAGTTGGGGAGCCTCAGGCCATGGGGGCCTTGGGGGATTAAGTAAGTGCAGGAGCCATGTGGCCATGGGCTTGAGCATTGTCCACTGGACTCGTCAGGCACAGTATGAGGCCAGCATGGCTCCTTGCTGCCAGGGTGAGGAGGGGGTGCAGGCAGCGGCAGGCCGTGCGGGGTGGGTGAGCCTGGGGGCGTCGGTACCTGTCGCTGGGGATGGTACAGCTACCACAGCGTTCGGGTACTGTCCGTGGGCTTAAACTGCCAGCCCGTGTGGCCGCCAGAGTCCAGGGCAGCCAGGTAGCACTAGGAGGGCCCAGGGTGGGAAGGGTGGTGGGGGGAGAGAGAGAGAGAGGGCACCTGAACACAGGCACACAGGGCAGGGCTGGCCGGCCTTGGGTCTGAGTGGTGACCAAGACCAGAAGGATATATGGCAAGTCAGCTGATGGCCTTCCACTTCAGGGGCTGCCCTGCTAGGGACCTCAGCCCCCAGCCTCTCCACATACTCCTCGATGGCACCACAGCGCTGTCCCCCTCAAGTGTGTTTCATATGTGTGTCTCCCCTGAGGGCCTGCTGTGACCCAGGACCTGCATGGACGTCAGGGAAGGAACTAGGAGAGTGAGGTTGCCACCTGGAACTCGAGGGGCCCAGGAGAGGTGTGGGGAGAGAGATGACAGGGGCTGTCCCAGAGCCCACAAGCCCCAAACCAGGCCAGCAGCACCACCTGAGATGAGTAATGAAAAGAAGTCTTATGGGGACTCAGCTCTCCGACTGCAAGGGGACCAGCCTGAGGCTGCTGGGAGGAGCCAGGTAAGCCCGGCCCAGGCCCCCAAAGACCCCATGAGGACAGCGCCTCACTGGGACAGAGGCCACTGAGCCCCCACTGTGCCACCTGGGAGGAGACACAGTGGGGTGGCCCCCACTGCCAGGCCAGGAACCCTCAGCCTATCCTCCATTCCTGAGACTTACTGAGGGTGGTGGGGATTCGCGTCCGATGAGGGGGGTGTTCTCACAGCGGGGATTCTGGAAGTTGGCATTCTGGTTCCTGCAGGTTGGGGAGGCAGAGTTGAGTGTCCCCAACACTGATATAGAGGGCAGGCACAGCACAAAGCTTCCTCAGAGGACCCCACCACCACCCTGTGGGCTGCTTGGGAGTAGGACAGGCACCCCAAGAACCCCAGGGACAGTGATGAAGGCCCAGAGCTGCCTGCCTCCCCACGCCCTGCCCACAACATGGCCAGGTTCTAGGGCCCAAGACACAGAGCCCCTGCCTGGCATCATCCCACCCCAACCCTCATCATCAGAAGGTTGAGCTGGGACACGAAGGAGCATTGTCAGACCCCTATACTTCTGACCGGTCCCCACTGCCCTATCAGCTTCCCAGAGCTGCCCTGCTGCATCCCAGCCTCTAGGGTGCCCTCTTCCCTCTAACTATCCACTCCACTCCATGCCCCCACCACTTTGCCCCTGCAGTAGCCACCCTGGCTCAGGGTTAAAGTGACCCCATGGTGCTCCCACCAGCCCGTAGCCCTCACATGTACTCGGTGACGGGTGCATTGCTGACGGTGTGGGCCGTGGCAGGGATACTGGTCTCACTGCCATAGCTGCTCCCACAGCTATACAGGCTGGGCATGTGCACACGATACAGGCTGTCGGGGGCCTGCCGTGGCCCTGGAGCTGTCTCCTCCTCCCCATCCTCGTCAGGGCCTCTGCAGGGAGGGATCCAGCATGGGTTCAGAGTCTGGGCACGCTAGGAACCTCAAGCATCAGCTTAAGAACAGCACACCTGGGTCCCAACCTGGCTCTGCCACGCTTTACTAGGGGACAGTTGGCTAGTCCCTGGCCTCTCTGCACGTCAGTTCCCCACTCTGTAAAGGGGTTTTAGGCCTGGATGATTCAGGTCCAAGGGGCTCACCTAAGCTGGGGCCTGCACGTGCTTATTCTCACCTGAAACCAGCAGGTGGGTGTCTGGGGCTTGTATACCCTTCTCCTGGCTCTGCAGGAGTCCAGGTTCCCCTATGGCCACCTGACCCCAGGCATCTGGTGATGAGGACACAACTCGGCTAGGCCCACTCCCCACTACTTTTCCATCTCACCAGGACTACCAGCACCCTTACATACAGGGGAGGGGGTCCTTAGTGTTCAATGGACCCTGAGAGGGCTCTCTTCTTACAATTTCATTTAAGAGTTTAGGAAACTGAGGCTCAGAGGAGTTAGAAACATCACACAGTGAGGGTGAAGCCAGGATTTGAATGCATTTTGTCTGGTTCCCAGGCTGTGCCCTCAGACAACTCTGGAGCCATTATCTCTACTGCCATCACTTCCACCATCATTACTGACAACACAATCCTCATCATTACGAATATCACCACCATCACCACCACCTCCCCATCATTACTGCCTATATGACCACGTTCATCACCACCATCACCACCATCACATCACCATCACCACCTTCATCATCCCACCACCATCACATCACCATCACCGCCTTCATCATCCCACCATCATCACATCACCAACACCGCCTTCATCATCACCACCATCACCACCATCACATCACCAACACCGCCTTCATCATCACCACCATCACATCACCAACACTGCCTTCATCATCCCACCATCACCACCACCACCGCCTTCATCATCCCACCATCACATCACCATCACCACTATCACATCACCATCACCGCCTTCATCATCCCAGCACCATCACCACCATCACATCACCAACACCACCTTCATCATCCCACCATCACATCACCAACACTGCCTTCATCATCCCACCATCACATCACCACCACCGCCTTCATCATCCCACCATCACATCACCATCACCACCTTCATCATCACCACCATCACATCACCATCACCGCCTTCATCATCACCACCAACATCCTCCCTATCACTATTGCTTATATAATTCCTTCATCACGACCATCATCCCATCATTCAATCATCATCATTACTGCTAGCATTGCAATTTCTACTATTATCATCACCTCTACCATCTCGGTCAACACTATCACCGCCACCATCCCCCATCACTACTGCCAACAAGACCACTATCATCACTATCACCATCATAACTTCTACCACTATTATCATTACCAGTTACCACCATCACCACCTGTTATCACCACCAGCAACGTATTACCATTAAAATCAACATCACGTCTTATCACCATCATTACCATCACCATCATTACTATCACCACCATCATTACCACCATCATCATCATTACCACCATCATCACTATCACTACTATCATTATCACTATCACCACCACCACATCACCATCATTATCACCATTGCTACCACCGCCATCACTACTGCAACTTAAATCATCTCCTGCATCACTACCTTCATCATCACCATTACCACTTCCACCACCATCACCACGTTTGTCATCACCATCTTCAATACCATCACCACCACCATCGCTACAACCATCAGGAGCATCATCACCACAGTCATTAACTGAAAACAGAGGAGAAATCCAAACAAAGGGAGGAAAGCTCAGCTCAGCTCCTTGCATTCCAGTTGAACCGACAAGCAGCAGCCACACTCTGAGCAGGAGGGAAGGTGGGTGAGTCTGGGGAATGTGCCATGGGGGCTCAAGCTACAGAAAGGATCTGGACAAGCCTCCGTCTTCCCCAGCAAGCACATCAAGGGCATAAGGCAAAGGCTGGAAGTCCAGGCAATGTGGAGGGAGTTGATCTCAACTACATTAATTTTTAGCCTCATTTTCTGAGCTACTCAGTTTCTGGAGTCAGGCATCCCTATACAACACATAATCCAGTACTTGCTGGGGACACTGAGGCAGTACCTCAACAGACCCCCGTACTTCAAAGAGCTAACCCCAATCCTGGCCACCCAGCTGGAGGCTGAGTCCCCTACACACCTGTACCCTGAGATGGGGAACACCAGCCTGGGAGGGGAGAATGGCTGGTCAGAGCCCTTAAGAGACGGGCACAAAGCCAGCTCTGGAAGGTGGAGACCCCAGCCATCACCTGTCTGCCCTAGACTCAGTATCCCCTGGGGATCAGTCTTTCATGGGACTGCTCCCCAGCATTCCCCCTAGGCCCCCAGAGTGTTCACACACAATGTTGTCAAGGAGGGCATGTCTGTACAGCTCAGGCCTCACCTTTTGGGCTGCCAGGTGTGTGGGACACTGCAGACGATGGAGCTGAACATGAGCGCCGTGATGAAGGAGAAGAGGGCCAGGTAGATGAGGCCTTCAACACCGTCATAGCAGAAGCCAGTCAGGGCCTGCACGTAGTCCTGCGATGGTGGGGATGGGGCAGGCACATGAGCCAGGTGGTGGGCCAGCTATCCCCTTGGTGGACCCTATTCCTCCTCACACGCAGACCCAGCAATCCCCTCAGCCCCCAGAACTCCTTCCTCCCTACATAGCACTTGCTCCCTCAGCCCCCAGCATCCCCTACAGCAGTGTCCCATCCCTCCCTGCAGTGTTCTCCTCAGCAGTTTCCCACCCTCCCCTCCCCTTCCCTCCCTTCCTCAACACACAGCACCCACCCCAGAGCCTCTCCCTCGGAACCCAGCATCTCTCCTACTACATAGCAGCCCCTCCTTCCCCACACAGCATCCCCAGTTCCCTACTACACAGTGATGGCCCCCACACAGCATCCGTTCCTACAGCTCCACATCCCCCTCACCACACAGCGCCCTCTCCCACCTTTTACACCACCAGCTTCCTCAGCACCTTAGCTTACCAGGTGCAGGCTCCGGCAGTCCACCAGGGCTGTGAGGTGCTGCAGGTTCACCTCCGTGCCATTCAGCACCTCCTGGACGCGGAGCAGGGGCTCCTGGTGGCAAGTGCCATCTGAGGTCAGCACCAGCCACCCCCATTCTGGGAGCCCCAGTCTCCATCCCACAACCCACCCATGGTCTCAGCACGGGCCCTGGGAAATGCAGAACCTCACAGCTGCCTGGAGAATGATGGATCAGGGCCTGCAAATGTGGGGTCCAGGGGGGTCTCAGACACGGGGAGGCAGGGTCCCTTGACTGGTGGTGGGAGCAACCACTCACAGCCACATGCCCAGTGATGGGGGCGGGGCTTCTGTTTATAAATCCTCTACTTTAGGGATGCGTGTTTGGGTGTTACTGTCTGTCTGTGCCCACATGTATATGTGTGTATGTATGTGTATGTCTATGTGTCTATATACAGACATCTGTTTATACTTCATGCATGAAAAACTAACTACAAAGAAGCCCTAAATGTGGACAGCGGTTCCCCTAAATCAGCTTTTCTCCCTGCATCAGACCCACCCTATATTTCCTACTGTAACCTATACAAAAATCTCTGTGCTCCCCCTTGATTGCAAAAGCCCACAGGGTGCCCATCCTCGCTACCACAGAAAAAGGGCACATGGGAAGGAACACATGGTACAGGCAGCAGACGTTCAGGTCATACCCACAGTAAAGCCCCCGCCACCCCAGTCTTCCCAGAACCCCTCAGGGGGCACAGCACCAGGAGAGTCTTGGAGCTATTTACCCCATTTTTTAATACAGTTTTGTGTTACTATGAAAATATTTTAAAAACAAAGTTCTTTTTGGTAACCTACCAAAAGTCTCCATGGGAAAGGAAGAGGGGGAAGAAGGGAGGCAAAAGGACGGTGGAAAAGGGAACAAACCCCAACTTCTAAATCCGCTCTGCTCTGCACCCTCACTCCTCTGAGCTGAGGAGGGGCTCCTGAACATATGTGTGCCCCCCATCCCCACATGATGCTCACCTTGGTGGCTGGGGACTCCTGAGGGACCGTCTTTAAGAGCTCAGCCACTGTGTCCTGCATCTCCACCAGCGCCTTGTGGCTGCCTGACAGCTTCTGCTCACACAGAAGTGCGTGATAGGGGGAGTACCAGGCCAGGGAGGGCAGCCTAGGGACGCCCAGGTAGTGACAGTAACGGTGGCCTCGTGTACACTGTCTACCCAATGGCACCTGGCTGCCCACACCCCCGACAGCGGGCCCTCTCCTGAACCCATGGTAATCTACAGCAGACAATAATCTTCAGGACCCCAGGAGGGACGCGATAATGGTGCGGTGACAGTCAATGGGCTAAATGGTATTCCCAGAAAGTGATCCAGACAACAACTCTGCAGAGCTGGCCTCAGGGATAAACCCCCACAACACACACCTGCTGAGGGTCCCACACCTGCCAAACAGATCTTCCAAGGGCAGCCCAAGAATGTGGGAACCACTAGAAGGCCCCCCAAAAGGCTGGCACCCAGGACAACAGGGTAGTAACTCAAGGGGCAGTTGGTGATACCAATACAGTTGTGCCCAGCTGGCCTGTGTCATGGCTGCTGGGGTCTGAGGAGGAAGCCTGGGCCAGTGGACGGGCCTCCCACACATGCAAACAAGGTGCTTCAGACTCTATGCTCCTCCCAGGGGACAAGCACAGCAGGGGGCAGAGGAGCCCTCTCCCCTCCCCTCCCCTCCGCCTTACCTGCTGGAAGGGGTTGGCGGCATAGGTGGAGCAGGCTAGGTAGTACTGCAAGATGTCTGCAGAGAGAGTGAGGGCAGCTGAGCCAGCGCCCATGTATGTACATGTGTGTGTGTGTGTGTGCAGGAGTGTGCCTGTGGGGGGTGGGGGGGCAGTAGAGGCATGGCCAGCTGTGTTTGAGTGCAGAGGCCCTAATCCTGGAGGCCCAAGTACACTCTCCCTAGCTGGGGACACCCACCTGGGCCAAGGCCCCCCACCCCATACCTTAGAACTGCACTCCCAGCTCACTCAGGGAGGACACAATACTCAGCCAGCTTTTTGTCCCAAGTTGGTGAGGCCACAGCCCCAACGCCACAAACTGGGAACCAGGGTGTGCAGTCTGTCTCCCCAAGCCAGGTAAGATTATTTTTCAAATTTGTACACCAGCGGTTAAAGCAGAGGCATTTATGCACAATTCTTACTTGCCAACTTTTCTGGGGAAACCTGGTGCTACAGGGGGCCCTTCCCTTTAACAGAATGCCCATCTGTGGAGCCAGCTCTGTGGCACATCGCAGAAATGGAAGGGGAAGAAAGGGCATGAGCTCATCACTCCAAGGGGTTTCTGCTCAGATCTGTGAGCCCTGGACCAGGCGTCCACTCCTGATGCCAACAAGCTCCCAGGGCCCCCACTCACTCACCCCCACTAAGCACCGAGTGTTCCTCCACCATCTTGGTGACGAAGGTATCAGGATCTACACAGAAGTCACTGGAGCCCTGGGGGGCCAGGTAAAAAAAAAAAAGGGGTAACATAGGAAGGTTAGAGGAAGCTACACACCTGCCCCTCAGCTTACAGGGGAACCAACACCCCTGGAGCTGCTATCGGTTTATGGAGGCAAAATGGCTATCTCAGGGGGTCCCAGTAACTTGTTGGGCATGCCCATGCCTCCTGGGATGATAGTGGGAGGGGAGAGGAGTAGGCTTCCTGCGCCCTACCACCTTGCCCAGCACACAGTTGGCCCTCTGTCACTCACCACCGACACAGCTAGCTCCAAGCCCAGGGAGGCCCAGCTGATGATGAGGGCCAGTACCCCCAGCAGGCAAACCCTTGGGACAGAGAGAGTGGTCAGCACCCCAGGCCAAGGACAACCTACCACAGGCTGCAGGATGGGGTAGCTGGGGCCCAGGGCCCAGCCCTGGGGTCTGGCCTTGGCATGGGGCAGAACAATGACTCTCCCACGCAGTGAGCTCAGCTCACCCCTGCCCAAGTCCCTTCTCAGCAGATAGCTGTTTGCACAGCCCAGCTTCATTCTGAAGAAGGGGTCTCAAGCAGACCAGGTTCAGCCCCACCTGGCCCCTGCCTGGCCAGGTGCTGCGGTCTCTCACTCAGGCACCACACTCAGACCCCAGGCTACACCTTTCGTCCGTGTCTGTTCTACACACACACACACACACACACACACACACACACACACAGACCTGCCGGATGCCCACCTGCCCTGCCCTGCCCTGCCCTCCCCAGAGACCATGGCCTCCTGACCCATGAGCACTCTTCGTATTCATCCCAGTGCCTGGTCCAGGTGGGCCTAGGATGAAGTGGTTCAAATGTGCTCTGAGGAGTCAACCCCACAATGTGGAACCACCTCTCTGCACTCCCCGAAAGCTGCTGTTTCCTACATCTCCCAGACAGGGAACCCAAGGGTGGTAGTCTCCCCTTTGTGACCTGGGAGAGAAGCAGATGGGAAATAAGGGCAGGTTGGCCCCATCACCAGGTCTGCCTGGCAAGGTCATGGGAGTAGTCCCAGAATAGGACCTTGTCCCCAGGAAGCCCCACCTGGGGCAGACCAGCAGCTGAGCAGGGGAGCATCCCACCCCAAGACTGACCCGACCAGGGTGCCCTTGGAGCTCCGGATGAGCCCCACCAGCACCAGGAGGCAGATGATCACATCCAGCAGGAGCAGGCCCAGATATCCCAGCCACCTGTGGGAACACGGGGGTGTGAATGGGGCCCAGCCACCTGGAGGAGGGATTCTGTGGGGATATGGGTGGGCCTGGGACATGGGCTGGGTTTTGAGTAGAGCCAGGCATCTGTGGGGACACAGAAGTGTGGGCAGGTGCCTGTCACCTACTGGAATTCTGAAGGGGGTGGGTGGCTACATGGGATGTGGGCAGGTAAGGAAGTCCAGCTACCTGCAGGGACACGGGGAATGCAGTCAGACAGGCTGGGACCAGGAGGGGGACTGGAAGACAGCTTTGGGATATGGGGACTGGGTCTGAATATGGGGCCACCCCTTGTGACAAACTGGACTACAAGGGTGGTTGTAACTGGGGTGTGGTGGGGGCAGCAGGCTGCCCCACCTGTACCAGTCGTAGAGGTCTACCAGTTCAGCCAGCCCCTCCAGCGACACGGCTGGGTTCCTCCAGAATGGGATGGCCACCGTGTAGCCCAGCAGCGTCCCAAGGAGCCCCTGAAGACGTTGCACAGCCCTCAGGGGCTCGGACCGCCCAGCCAGCTGTCGCTCCAGGACCTGCAGATTGGGATCCGCTGTGTGGTTCAAAGCCGCTGCCGTGTCCCACACCTGCGAGGGGATAGTGGGTGAGGAGGCAGCCCAGGCATCCTTCACAGGTCCCTGTACATGTCCCCTACCCCAGACTCTCCTCCCCCTACAGACATCTGGGCGCATCGGGCACCCCACTCACGCGATCCTGGACCCCGGACACTGTGCGGTTGGCGTGGCGCAGCGAGTAAGTGGCCCGGTGGACTCCATCACTTGTCTCCCCGTTGCCGTAGAAGCCCACGGCGATGCCGGCGCTTGGGGGTGGGGGGTGGACAGGTGAGCTTCTGTCTGGGGGCCCATTTAGGCGGCAGGGTAAGTGGGGGCCTACAGGAGTCCTGGGGAGGCCCGCCCCCCTGAGGAACCATCGGCCAGCTAGAGGAGCCCCAACTATCTGTGGGACCCGCGGGTGGTGGGGATGATGTGACCCACGTGGGCTGGAGTCTGCAGTAGTTAGCTGGAGAGGCCCCCCGACACTGACACCCCAGCTCCGCCCCCGCCCTCTTCCGCGCCTGCGCTCACCTGCACACCAGCGTGGCAATGATGACGCACCAGGCAGTGCAGCAGCAGTCGGCGTCCAGGTGCTCGTCGTTCTTGCGTCGTCTGCAGCACAGCCAGAAGGAGTAGAAGAGGAGGAAGAGGAGGTCCAGGGCGAGGCAGGCCACCGCGGCTGCCCCCAGCAACAGCAGCGCCTACGAACCAAGGAGCGGGCTGCAGCAGGGGGCCTACGAGGAGCGTCCATTCATCCGTGACCCAGCTGCCCTGGCTGCTCTCCTCCCTCTGGGGGGATGGAGGCCGAGGTCCCGGGTACTTGGCCAGAGGCCCGGCATCATGACAGCAGGGTCCTCAAGTCAAGGAAGGGTGGAGCCCCTCCTAGGACAGGAAGGGGGTGGGCAATGGGCCTAAGAGTTCCCCGTTACCCCGAGGAGGGGCATTAGGACTCCAGTTCCTTTACACGGCCACGTGGTGTGATTTCCTAGTGCCTCAATTTCTCATTAGTTTAAAGAGGGCAATGCTACTCCCCACTCCCAAGGTCGGCTCAGATTCCCAGTAATCCTCGAGATGCTGGCCTCTGGGAGGGGTTGGCAGCCCGAGGTCCCCACCCCTCCAGCCTTGCCCCCATTACCAAGTCCAAGGCAGAGGAAGGGGGAGGCGGGTTCCCAAGCCCACAGGCAGAAGGAACTAGGACCAGGCCAGGGGGCCCAATTTGAAATGCTGAAGATTTAGGGGCTGGGGAGAAAAATGGGAAGCCTGCTAGTGGTTGAATCCCCTTAGCCATTCCTTGCAGCTGCTGCAGGGGTATAACCAGGCCAAGCATGCATGTCCGGGTGTTGTTTTCACCCATTCCTGGCCCATCCTGCCCAACTGCTATCTGCGGAGCTGTCTTCATGGTGGAACCCTACCACACAGGATAAAGGGGAGGCCGGCCTCCATTTAGAGTCCCTTCAGAGGTAACCCTGGGACCACACCACTAATGCCATGCACCCATACCCACACATCACTGCCAGGTCAGCCCCCTAGGCCTCAGGAGATCTTTGAGGTCAGCGCCCACCCACCACAAGACAGCCCCAGCACCTGCTGCCCCCACACTGCATCCTACAGTTTGCCATACAAGGAGATTCTACCTCATTTCACAGCTTCAGGAAGCCTTGTCCACATGGGGGGTAGGGAGCCAGCTCAGAACCTCATCACCCTCCTGCTGGTCAGGATGGGGTGCAGACCTACCTACGTGCCCCAATCAGGGGGGTATCAAACCTGGTGGTATGTGACACCCCAAGTACCCCTTTCCTCTGCTGACCCTGAATACCCCTATGCAATCCATGCCTAAACCCAGGGTGCCTAGCTCTGAGCCTGCAGCCATCCATCATTGGAGGCAGAAGGTCCCATCCCCTCCCCCTCCCTGTGGGATTGAGGCTCAGCCTCCTTCAGCAGCTGAGCGCCCCCACCCCCCCACAACCAGGGCTGTCTCCCAGGAGACAGTTGCCAGGTTGCCAGGCGTGGGGAGGAGGAAACTCCTGGCCCTCCCAGGAGTCCTCTCCAGCCCAGCCCAGCCCTTTAAGACCAACCAGGGCCTGTGAGCCCAGCTAGCATGGGCAGAGGAGCAAACCTTCAAGGTCTGCAGACTCAAGGGCTGGGCCTCTTCTACCCTGCAGGGGACAATGTGGGGGGCCCTCAGGGTATGCCTCAGTCCCCAGCAGCTGCTCCCCACTAGCAGCACAGGCTTGCTGCCTGCCCCCCACTGTCACAGGTCCTGATATTCTTGATCCCCAGCTAAGAGAGTAGGCCAGTCCCAGACTTCCTAAAGCATCCAGGGTACCCAAGAACCATAGGGGAACCCCAAGGCCCAGACAGGGGAATGGAGTGGCCCTAGCAGAAGGTCTTTGGGTGGGACCCGGGGGCTGACTTTGCATAGTAGGTCCTAAACACAACACTAGTGGGTTCTCCATGCCTGCCCTCCCAGGCACAGCTGCAGTGGGGGGGAGAGAAAGGCAAAGGGAGAGGATTGCAGGGCAGGTAATGATGCAAACTGTGGGGGCAGCAGGCACCAAAAGTGATTTCTAAAACAGTACGTCCTGGGTCCCCCCCACCTCACCTATAGCAGCCCCTCCCAAGCCCAGCCCAGCCTGAGGAGCCTTAAAATACTTCCAGACACACACCCCGACTTAGACATCTCCAGGGCCTCCTAATCCACCCCACCCAGTTCTGCAGGCCTGGCTCCCCACTGACTGGTACTCCGGCTTCAGGCCCAGCCCCCTAGCTAAAGAGACCCTCAGTCCCCAGCACTTCTGTAGAGCACTGACCACATGGGAATATGCACTAGTCTGGGGGTGTCCCGCCCAGTGCCCAGACTGTTGTGGGAGTAGTGAAGATCAGCCACTTCCACCTGCAGATGAAGAGCACCAGCAGCCAGACAAAACCCCAAAACCGGGGACCCAGGGATGCTAGCATTGGAGGAGTGAGGGGCAGTAGATGGGATCTAGGAAGCCTACTATTAGCCGACAAACTGGGGGTACTCCTGGCATGCAGAGAGGGTGGTGCCAACAGCAGGGTCCAGCTGGGCTCCCTGTCCTTGTCTGTGGAGTGTTCCTGGCTGCTGGAGGGCTGACAGAGGGGGTTGGTCAGTGCAAAAGTTGGTATTACTACACCAAACCCACTGCCTTCAAGCCGATTCCCACATGCAGAATACCCACTTGGGCTCTGACACTGTCAGTCTGTATGGGAACAGCCAGCCTCATCTTTCTGCTGCCGAGCAACACATGGGTTTGAACTGCTGCTTTTGAGTTAGCTGCGCAACACTTAGCCCACAGTGCCACAGGGCTCCTTAATAAATATGATACGGGAGGAAATATGAGGCATGAAAGGAAAGGGAAAGTGGGGTGGACTGGGGAGTGGGGTAGGGGCCAGGATGGGTCTGTCCCGAGAAAAGAGGTCAGGCACTCAGCTGTGACCAGCTGAAGCAGGAGTACAGACAGTACTGACCAGTGCAAATCACACTGAGATGCACAGCCCTCAGCAAGAGGGCCACTTCCTGAAAGTTTCAGGGCCAACCTCAGCTGGCTGCTCTGGGGAAGTAGGAGGGGAGGAGCCACTTCTACTTTGGTTGGGTCTTCTTTTTGGAGCTTTGATTTAATCATGAACACAACACACTGCCTTGGAGTCTTGGTGTGGCACTGTAGGATAAGCACTGGACTACAAGGTCAAAGGTTCAAACCCACCAGCCACACCTCAGAAACTCTATACAGGGTTACTATGAGTTGGACCTTAGCAACAGCAACACATACACATTAAAAAGCAAAACTCTCTCTGGAAGCCTGGGTGTTGGGGGATGTGCTGGGCAGGAGGCTTTGGTGCACTTCGGGGTTGGCCAGACCTGCTGCTCTCTCTGGTGGGTTTCTTTCCCAATAAAGTTGGGGGACAGGGTGACTATTCTCCTACCACCCAGGGCTGTCAGAGGAGAAGAGGGTACCAAGGGACACCTTGGGCAGCACTGGCCTCATCTCAGAGCCTGAGAGGCCTGAGTTGCTCAAACTCCACAGTCCCCCATCCCACTCTACCAGAGAGGGGTTTGCCTGCTCGGCAGGGAGCCAATGCACTGGGCCCGGAGCTGCTGGCCTTGATCCGCTGACTGCCCTGCTCAGGCCTGTTTTCCTTCATTGAATAAGGAGACAGATTCAGTGAGCTAACGCGTGCAAAGTGAGAGCTTCTGGGTCCAGCAGTGTCACTAATCTGGAAGGATGGGCATGGGTGGGGAGATAGCAGTGGGAGGAGCCAGAGCAGCATCTGTGGCCAGGGTCTCCCCAGCAGTCTGCAGTGAGTGCTGGAGGCTGGGAGGGGAGGGGAAGGGACCCATCCACCAGGAGCTAATGCATACACAGGCACCATCTACCCCAGCACCTCACCTCTCTGTTGTTGTTGTTAAGTGCTGTCGAGTGAGTTCCAACCCATAGTGACCCTAAACAGGGTTTCCAAGGCTGTAAATCTTTACGGGAGCAGAAAACCTCATCTTTCTCCTGCGGAGCAGCTGATAGTTTTGAACTGCTGACCTTGTGGTTCGCAGCCCGATTCGTAACCACTACGCTACTAGAGCACCTCTCTGTAGAGCAGGACAACTCTCATCTCAGCCCAGGGTAAGTCCTGGAGGGTGAGGACCTGTGCTGGAGCTCTGACGAGGGAACAAGTCAAGGGCAGATGTCACTTGAGCCCATGGGGCAAATTGTGACCCAGTCACCCTGCAAGGCAGCTTCCTCCACTATCAGAAGCCCCACCCAACTGAGGGCAGAAGTGCCACATAAGAAGCCCTTCACTTCTGTGAGTGCCTTCTCCCTGAGACTAACCCCTAAAGTCATTGTTGAGCCTAAGAATCATTGTGCTCAGGAAACTCAAGTCCCCCTGCTCCACCCTGGCTCTTGCTGGAGAAGCCGGGCAGCCAAGCTCCAGGGTCAGCTCTCAGCCACAGGTGGAAGCTGACACGTTTACCCATTCCGCAAATGAGAATGCTGAGGCTCATAGGGGTCCAGCTCCAGGGCTGTGGGAAGAACGGCTGTGTTCTGAGTGTGCTGGGTCAGGCTGAGGGGTATCACACACCCTGGGCAGGGAATCCTCGCCCCAGGACAGCCAATATCCACTCCCGCTCCTGGGACCCATTTAGAAGGTGCATGGGAACTGTCGGATCAGCATCTAGTGCTGATCACATGGAACTTTCCACTGTGGGTCAGTCGAGGCAAGGGGCCTAGAACCTCCCTGCTGGGGTTCGCAGCCTTCACCCTATTCTGCATGCTGCCCTGGCAGTCCCCCAGGCCCTAGACTGCTTTCTCAGAGGAACCCCTGCCCCTCCAGCCAGACTGTCCTCCTGTGGCCTGAGGCCTCCCCTCCTCCCTCCAAAGCCTCCCCAAATGACAGCTGGGGCTGAAGGGCTGAGCTCCTGCCCTGAGTTCTCCTCCTGCCTAGCTGAGGTGGGGGTGGCTCTTGGGGTGGGCACAACACAGGGACCCCTGTGTCTGCAACACTTCCTCCTTTCAAGGAGTGTTCATGATCCCCCAACAGGTGTGCGGGTCCCTCTGCGAACACCCCACCTATGGCCACACAGAGGAAAGCTGGGATCACGAGGGGCACAGGGGCTGACCTCCCACAGGGACATGACAAAGACCAAGAGCAGCTCAAAGGTCCCTCTGTGTCTGGGGACCACATTGGG